CTTTGCGATTTCAGCTCGTCTCCCACAAACTCTGCTCCCTTGTCCTCAAGACTCTGCATTCAGAGTTTCAAATTTACAGCAGCCATTAGGATCAGCACTGAGTCACCTCTATTGATGCAGGATTATTGTTTCACTGATGCAGGACGTCATTCGCAGTCCATTATAGTACATTATAGTACATTATAGTACATTAGTACGTGCTGTTTTCCTTGACAAAACAAGACATGGAGGCATGAGAGTAAACAGCTAAACACAGAAATCCTTCCCGTCCATAATACAGTGTCTGTACTGTACATTTCCGCTTCCTGAGAGACCTGGTTACCATTTGCCCATAAATCAAACATAGTATCAGAATCTACAAATGCTAGAAATTATAGTTACAAGAGAGGAACTTATAATGAGAATAGGCTATTTCATAATGATCGTTGTCTCTCCAGATCAACCTCATCACAGACCTTCTGAATTTACTCCCGTCGGCCCTGAAGACGAACAAACCACTATTCCGATGCCACAGGTGTTAGGGATGGTATGAGAAAGCAGAGGATGCAGGGGGACCATCAACAGCAACCAGCAACCCCCGAATGACTGCCTCTCTCTGAACCTCAGACAGACAATACCCACCAAGGAAGAAATGTCCCATCTGCACACATTTACACTAGACTTTACCAGAGGCTCTTATCCAACGCAACAGACAGTTGGAAGTTAAGGATTCAAGGGCCCAGTGGGGAAATCAGTCTGCAGACAATGGGATTTGAACCAATGACCTTCCGATAATGGGTACAGAGTCTTAGACTGCAGTAACATACATCACCCCGAATATATACATATATACACACAAGCCTTGCTGTAACGCTCACAGATACGGACATGCGTGCACACACACACGCACATCACCCCAAATATATACATATATACACACAAGCCTTGCTGTAACACTCACAGATACGGACATGCGTGTGCACACACACGCACGCATATGCACACATGCGCGCATGCAGAGGTTTTCCTTGCTGTCCCTAGAGAAGCTCTGCTAGAGGCGTGTCCTGACAGGCTTGGCTTTGACCAAGCACATTTAGCGCCTCTGGTCCTGTGCTGTTCATACCTTGCAAGTTGTGTCATGCCTTTAGCTTCACCCTCACCCTGTTTAATCTGACAAAAACAAAAAAAAAAAACTTAACTCCCTGCAGGAAGCAAATGCACCTGCATCATATCACTTTAACAAACCTTAATTTCATCATTAAAATGAACTGATTCTTAAGAGCAAGACGGAAACAGGAATTTACTATAATGCTTAATTTTCTGCAATGCACTGGCATATTTTCAAAGTTGAAGCAGAGGACGTTCGACAGCTATTGGTTTGATGTAAGTTTAAGGTAGGAGAGAGAGAGAGAGAGAGAGAGCATGGGTCAGAAGGATAGACGGGGCGTGTTCATCACCCACGGGGCACAGATCTAACCAGCGGGACAGCCAAAACACAAAGGGAACACAGTGAGTCAACATGAGGTCAAGAGGCCGCTGAACCAGCCAGCCGGAAGGTTCCAACCTCACAAATGACTGGCAGACACAGGCTAAGCTATTGATGGTGACAGGGTGAACCGGGGGGGTCAAACGACTCCTCTGTCCTGCAAACAGGGCCACGCTGCCTGTGTCATGGGGGTGTTGGGGGTGACTTCCTCATCTTCGGCGTGCATTGACGTTTGGCACAAGAGACATTTCTTTTTTGTTTGTTTCCCAGCCATTGGTTTGTAGTCTGTGATTAAAATATCAGATTCAGGAATGTAATCCTGAATCCCGCAGACAGCCTGTAGGGGGGGGGGGGCTTTGTATGGCTCGAATGAGCCTCTCCGTGCTTCTGAACAGCCGCCACGAGCGAACTGAACTCTGTTCCTTTGTGAAAACGACTTATTCCCTTGGTTATTTGCATTTGAAAGTATTTGCACTACAGTAATCTATTTTTCACCAGTATCTGTCTGAAACGAGGGCTGTGGTCAATGGAAAAACTTTACAGGTAACTGAAGCAAAATACGATTAGCCTCTAGGCAACATAAAGAATCAGCATAAAAGTAATTACAGACCACGCTGGAGCCTAACCCCACTACTGTCAAAAAAGAGAAAAACAGCTGTTCTGAGAATGTTCTTTCTGTCGTGCCAGTATGTTAGTATGGTACAAATAAAGTCAAGCAACAAAACCTGCCTAAGATCTGTCCTTTTCAGAAGCAGTACCCAAGGTTCATCTCACTATCCATAAATCCTTTCATGCGTGGCTTTTCACCCCTACTTTCTCACAACGGGACAAGCCAGAACAGGCAACCCATCGAAAAAAACATCTTGGCCTCCTCTCAAGCGTCGCGGGATGGTGTTCAGATGTTCCGGGACAAGCTGTGTCTTGCTGCTTCGCCAAAACGCCCGTCCCTGCGCGTCTAATCCACCCTCTTTTGCCTCGAGCCGGGAACGCGACGCACAGCCTGTCGAGTTTAACCCGTTCGGCGCGGCGCCGAAGGCTGGTTTATGAAGGGCAGAGGGTCAGGTGCAGTGGCCACTCAGCTATAAAGGCCACTGTTGCAAGTCTTGTTGATGCAGGGTTTGATCCCCCCCCCCCCAAAAAAAAACCCATCTGCAGTCAAACAGAAGCAGTGTTTTCATCGCACGTTGCGTAACGTCAAACAAAATGACCCATTTTAGCATCGCTTGGAGTCTCTCTCTTTGACAATAAACCGGTTTACAAACGGCAGCCTTTACATTATGTCCGCATTCAGAAAACAACATTGGAAAAGTAACGTTATCATGGAATTTAAAAACACTAATTCTGCTTTTGTTACTCCACAAATAGAAGGATAAGGTGTGTCATCCCCCTTCCCCTGCCCCCCCACCGCCTGTATCATACTCAGGAAGAGGTTAGGGTGTGGGTAGAGCGTTAGTCATCCCCAGACAGCCGCCAGAAGGACTTTCCAATAATTCCAGCAGAAGATCTACAGGCTGCTTTCTTTGCTCATAATCTCAGTGGTTGTGATGTCATCAGTCACGTGACCTCACCACCAAGACTGTGGTCAGTCTCCTTAGAACTACAGGAGCTGTTCTGCCCAGTTTAAGCCACGGGATGAGGTCTCAGCTCTATTTATAACCACTCCTGTAAGGTTTGATTTGCACCCAGTAGTGACAAAACCCACTGATTAAAGCAACAATAACGTTTCAAGTACTTAAGTCATGGACAATTTTGGGTGCAATGATTGTACTAAAGGTGCATGTTGCTCTGCATTTAGCCTCAAAATGATCCCTCAAATACGCCGCAATTAAGCCTTTTCTACTACACTGCAATGCATATCAGCGCACATAAAAAGCAAGTCTTATTCACAGTAAGGATCCCACAGGACCCGATTCTAATAGTCTAAATGAGTCCTCCTGTAACTAATTCACCTCACGTTTAGCAGTTTTTCACATCGAAATATGTTTTGAGCCCGGCTTATTCCGGTTACACAAACACTTCACACAAACCAGTCACATTTAACCAAGGGAATGTCAAGTCAGAGCTTAAAAATTTGCATGTAGTAGTAAGTAAAATGGATCTGTGGTGTGGGAACAGGGGTGTACGGAGAATTCTGCGCTGCTGAACACTGCTGTCCTGCTAAGGGGTGATCTTCGGAAAGAGGGATTCTTCTGGAGGTGAGGTGGATGGAGGGAGAATGTCTGAAGATCACGCCCCGCAGGGGTGGCATTCGCTCTCTAACTGGTGCGTCTTTCTCTTTCTGAATTTGAATGTAGGAGAACGAGAGATCGACTGTGGGAACGTGGGAAACGTTAGGCTCCCACACTGGCTGCAGCCAGTGACTGCAGTGCTGTCTCCCAGGTCCTACCAGTCTGGTTTTTTTCTCTTGAAGTCACACCATTTTACCGTTTGGGTTCGGGCAACACGCCCATTAGGTCTTCCCGCTCCCGTGACTGCCAGATCGGAGGCTGATTAATGGCTGAAACAGCTTATTTTCCGTAAAAAAAAAAAAAAAAAAACAGTATTATTCGCAAATTAAATACGACCACGTTCTCGTCCACCTACACTGTCGTTTGTGAAGCAAGGCACGTGTGGCGAATTGGATCGGTTTCAGCATTGCTTAGCCGGGCAGAGCGTAAAGATGGTCATATTTCGCAATGAAATTAATCGAATCTGCAAGCTGTGTTTTGCTTTGTGTACTCGGGTCGCTTCCAAGAGGCTGACATGATTCCCATCTGCTTCTGTGTACTCCAGCTCGCGTCAGGAGAGGACAGGAGCCGGCAGGGAGTGCTGTCTTTTCATTTTCCTTCCTTTCCTGGCGTGGACAGGCTGAGCCGTTCCCCTCTTTGCCCTGAAATGCATCCGTCGAGCAAGCGCAGTCCAAACCAGTCACACGGCACCATGGAAGCGATGTCTCAGGTCCGCTCCCTGCCCCGTGGTGAAAGAACTGGCTCCATGCGATCCAGCGCGCAAAGCAGAAGAACGGGAAAGCGACGGCAAGCTCTGCCACTGTTGCCGCATTTGAACTGGGCTCCGTCGCGTGAAAATTGCGGCAAATTCAAGATGGCAGCTAGAGAGGCCAGTTACGCACCGAAAGCAGTGAAAACCCACCCGTCTGTTACACTACTCAACCTTCACTGAACTCTGCGTGAATCACAGCACACCTCAGTCAGAGACATCGCTAGAAATTCTGGGCCCTCTGACAAAATATCATTATATAATTTTTATAATGATACATATTCAGGGGCCCCTTTGAAGTGCTGGGGGCCCCAGAATCTGCCAGAATATCCTTGTTCCTACTGCATATCTGACCGCAGCCTACGAAGTACATTTGTGCACAGGTCTGCAGGTGATCTGAAGTAAATAAGCCATCATTTGCACTTCCTGCCAGACGACATTTTCCACATATCTGGTCAGCGATAGCTTCCCGTAGGAGGCCCATACAAATTTCTTGGCTACTGCAGCTACATAATTCCACCCCCCCCCCCCCCCCCCTCCACCCCGACTTGAAGGGAAAAATTACGTAAAACAATACAATAAACAATACAATTCAATAAAAGGCCTGATCTCATCCAGCTCCGTTTGGTGTGAAACTTCACACGCGGGACGTGAGCGGTACGCTTAGGGACAGAGGCGCACCGAGCGAAAGAAAAACGGCTCAAAGGAAAGCGACGTGACAACGGAGATGGAGGTACAGCAGTATGCTGCTAGCATTACGACACGATAGCCAAGTTTTACAGCTACGCTCCTGCAGTGCATGACAAAAGAAGCTGTGTTACTGAATGAGAGCTTACAGTTGCTGCCCAGATTTTACCTAATACCATTCGGGCCCTACCCAGAACGGCAAGAACCAAGAGGACCTGCCCACAGCAGCCCCAGACTACTGACTCACTCGCTGGGTACTGCTCCAGGCTAGAGACTCACCTCGGTTCCAGAACCCAAGCACAGCTTGACCCTAGCGTTACACATAACCTCATTGTGTACGGCTGTGTACAAAGTATGTTCCCAGTTAAATGTTCACTGCCTTGTTTGTTTAGTATTATTATGACATGTTGCCCTAGTCATGACAGAATGAATAAGTGCATTAGTGTAAGATTAAGGTGCAAACAATGCTCTCCAACTGTTGTCTTGTCTTTCTGCATTCGTTATGTGCACCAGGTACATCATCAGGTAGGTGTATCAGGCAAAGCAATCAGATTTAAGTGTATGTGCATTGCAAAAGGCTGCAGCTTTGGATGTTTTGCAGTAATTAGAGCTTGGGATGATTGCACAAAACACTAATTCAGAAGAGCTGAAAGGTTTTCCCCTTCATGACTCTTACCGTCCATGTGGCAGACTTGGCGGTACTGGACTGCTGGAAGGAGACGTCGAAATTGTGGGGTCCTGCATAGTCGGTGTTGGAGGGGATGGCGGGTGATGGGGACAGCGTCTCGAAGGTGGAGCTGGGCTGGGCGTAGGGCGATGGGGCAGCCACGCCACTCTGGGTGTGCTCGTTGTTGTATGGGCTGGTAGATGAAGACCTACTGGTTGGGATCTGCTGGTCCATGCTATTCAGAAGGCTCAGACTGGTGTATGTCGTCTGGACAAACAAGAGAGAGACACAAGGATGGTGAGAACCTTAAAAAGTAAAGTAAGCATCAAAAAGGCTCTTTTTACCCCCCCCCCCCCCGTCACCGTTTCCTCGAGCTGACTTGAACATGGAACAATAATTAAAAATTTCAGGAGGAGAACATGCCACAACCATTAACTGACATTCGGGGGGATGATTAAACACTTAAGCATGTTCACAGCTGACAACCACATTTTAGTGCTTTTTTTCCCATAATCATAACCATCATAATCATTCATGCGTTGGACATTGCGAGCTGCATGAGACTGACTGCGAATGTGTCTTCAATTTTGGGGAGGTTTTCATTGGTTCCCCGTAACCCAGGTAGCAGCATTCGTTTCCAGGAGACCTGTGGATGACTTTCCCAAAGCTTTGGGATGTCTGCAATTCCCACTGAACACCACTCTGATAGTATTGTACGGTATACTCAAAAAAGGGGATGTTCTTCCCCTTTAAGTAGCACTACCCATAATGCAATTCCTTATCTTAAATAAGCCATGGGTTTCCTCATGGAACATTAGAATCATCATTATTAAGTGATTTATTAAGTGATCCGGTTGTTTTTTTTAATGTAATGAAAGAGAGGTTAATTCATCACAATGATGACACACACGACCTTTCAGCAAACCTGGTGATTAAATCAGTCTTTCTCTGAATGCATGTAAAACAGAGTGAAAATGGCCGCAGGCTTGACGCCGGAAGCTTGTGTCGGACCCTTGGTTAGTAAGTCCCGGCATTATTGGTGACTCTTAATGGAGCCTGTTTCAGTTATAAGGGCACATTCCTGTGCTGACGGCCTCAGCCTTGTGGCTCCTTAAGTTGGCTGTTAATCTCTGTAGGACCCTTTTCTTGTCTCAGATGTGATGGACTGCAGCTGTCCATTCCATACCCTCTGGGCAGGTATTGCTTAAATCAGCTGAAGTCCAACAATCTCTCTCTCTCTCTCTCTCTCTCTCTCTCACACACACACACACACACAGACACACACATGTTTGTATTTATATCTTTGTGGGGACTCTCCATTCATTTCAACTCTAATCCCAACATGACAACCTTAACCTCTACTCAGCAATAACCCTAACCATAAGTAACAAAACAAAATGCAAGACTTTTGGAATCTTTAGTTTTTTAATTGTATTCACAGATTTTTATTGACATTATCCTTGAAGGGACAGAAAAAATGTCCCCATAAGGTAAAAAGGTACATGTTTTTATCACATTGTGGGGAAATCTGGTCCCCACAATGTAATAATTACAAACACACACACACAGAAGTTTGTAATTATATCTTTGTGGGGACCTTTTACGAGACCTTTGGCATTTTTAGCTTTTTGATTGCATTCAAAGGTCTTTGCGGGGACCTGAAAAATGGTCCCCATAATGTAAAAATAACAGGTGTGTGTCACATTATGGGGGACATTTGGTCCCCACAATGTATTATAAACATAATCCACCCACACAGACACACACACACCAACTTGTTTACCATTATGAGGACATTGAGTCTAACGCGACACGCGCCTCCATTTCTCAAAAAAACATTCTCTCCTGTAGACACACAGACTAAAACCCCCCAGACTGCCTGAACTGGAGAAGGCTTTGTACTGATCCCCCCCACTCCCTTTCCTTGCTGCCCCCCGCCCCCAGACGATAAGGGTCAATGTTCATGTAGGGATGGGAGGGCAGCCCTGCTGGCCGACACCCAAGGTGCTTCATCGGGAAGCTGAGCGGCACACAATGGACAGGAATAGAAGGTGCGTGATGTGTGTGCTCTGTGCTGAATGAGGCGCTCACACAAAGGCTGGGGCCACTTACAAACCTCCCCGTAGCCCCCTCCAGCCAAGCGGCCCTTCTAAACACACAAGCACCCCCTCCCCCAAAGACAGACACCTACAATGGAACAATTAGGTCGCGGTAGAGCCCTGTAGCACCAGAATTCTCTTCTAACATGGCCATCTGTGGGCTGTACCTGCAGTAAATCCCCAGGGATGCGTCACAGTGTTTGTCTGCTGCCTTATGAAGGGAGTTTATAGCTTATTTATTTCATGTGCTCTATGTATTAGTCACATTGTTGTTTGTTTGAATAGGACAAGTAACTATTTTAGCAAACCAAGGCTGATTGAGGGTTAGTCTCAGTGCGGAAGTCTGTTATGTTAAGTCATCTTCCATGTTCGGAAAGAGACGATGCATCTAAATGCAAAAGAACAAACAATATGTTTTGTATAAAATTGTTGATATTCTGCAAAACATAGTAAATTATTCCTTTTTGTAAATTAATGCAACGGCAATAAACAAACTAATGACTCACTTTGGACTGATTCCTCAGTGCTGTGAACTTAAGAAAGATCAAATGTTTGTTACCATGGAGATGCCACATCTCATTTTTTTTTCTGATTGGCTGCTATCAAACACTGTGAACAATAAGACAAGGTGCAGCATCCAGTGTAGCACTCAGCCCCCCCCCCACCCCACCCCGAGGGCATAGTTTGGCCTCTACTGAAATCTGTAGTTACAAGCTAAGTGCATTAGCCACTGATAACGGGAAGGTGTATAGCCAGCAGGGGGCGTGGCTGAGGCTGTTGGGGCTTAGAACATGGTTTACCTGGCTGGCTAAATGTTCAAAAGCATCCATAATGAGATTGGCAGGAGAGGGCCATCAAACAAACAAATTGGATAATATCTTATATATGCTTCAATATACAAGCTTGCAGAAGATCTTTGTAAATTTCTCAAAGACCCATGAACAGAATCCTTCAAACCAAATGTTCACACTTAATGTTCAGACTGGCGTTCGGCTGCCCAAACCAGCCCTCTCAGGATTCGCCCTTTCAGCTATAATGATATATTCTTTCCAGTGAAATTTCCAACCTCTTGCCTTTTGGTCAATGAGCCCAAGGCTGTCATACCGCACGACAAACACACATAAATCTATTTCCTTGGCAGAAAGGTCACAAACCCAACCAACCTCTTAAGTGCTGGAGTGACAGGAATAAATCAAAGTGTTTAATACGGTGGCCATCAGCATTTATGCAGGGTAGGAAAGCCGACCACTCTAAAAATTTTACATTTCTTTCTAATACACTTGTGCTTTCAGGACAATGTACAAGTGATATACCCATTATAACTCACTATTACTAATTCTGAATGTATTGTTGTCAAAGAATGATCAATAGCAGGAATTTGTGCAGCAGTTACTGGGGAATTGCCATTACATAATACAGGTACATATCTAAACACCAACAGTGCCAAAGAGTCTCTTTTGCTAATTGTTCCAAGCTTGGGGAAACTAGCCTCAACTGAAGATAAAGGCAAGAATACAAATCAATAAAAAAGAACAAGATCTTCAATTGTTTCCTGAAATATCAAGCGCTCAAAATACTTGAAGACTCACATTTGATCAGGCATTACATCATATGGGTAGACGAATTAATTACATACAATAGCACAGACACTTGAACTCGTAAAATCATCATTTAATATTTTTAACCAAATGGATATATGTATTGTTTATGTGGCACAACATCAAGATAACAGAAGTCCATGTGATTTAAACAATGATAAAATGAACTGTATCCCATAAGTAAATGTTTTACCCCAAGTAATACTAAAGAAATAATTTGAAATAAACAGCATAAGGCTGGATTAAACGTATCTTCCATGATCGCATCCTTCATAACAGCAGAAAAAAAACATGGATGACCATCTCAGGGGTGAGGCATGATAAACATCTGCCAGCTTCAGAAGATAATCATATACGTCTCTTTCACAAAGCGGTTAGAGGGGAGATAGGAAGACTTGCCCTGCAGGGTAGAATAGTTGTGATTCTTGGATCTCTCTCTAGTGACCTGGGAGCCAGCAGAAAGCTTGTCTGAGTGAAAGACCCTTATGGCCAAAAGGTAGAAAGTGCCCCCTTACTAACCGAGGGTCAATCTGTACCCTGTACCTGCCGAAAAGGCAACAGCACCTGATTTTATCTGCGTGTGAAGACGCAGTTGAAGCAGTTAAAGGCCGTCGCTAAACAATCTGAGCAATTATGAAAGAAAAAATGGGGGTGGGGGTGAGGGCTAGGGGGTGAGGAAGGAGCGGTCAATTTGAAACTTAACGTTCATTCAGTAATGTCACCAAGCGTTCGTTTCCCTGTGTCTCCCACTGCAGCGTAAACAAAAATTACGAACCGCAATGAACTATGCAAACTATCGTTTTCCCGAGGCCCCGCTTTTGAAACTCGGCGCTAAAACCCAGGTAAAGTTCATTTCCCTCCGTGCCTCCGCGACTCACCGCAAAGAGTCACTGATAACAGCATCGCCCATCTTAACGAGACGGTGGAGCCACTAGCAAATAAAGCCCGGAGCAGGAAACGAAACAGCAGTGATTTTAGCCGTCAGCTATTTCAGAGCAGAGTTTGGATTTCCCTCTGGGGTTTTCCCTGTCAACAATATGACACTATTTACCTACTGAGATTCTAACCAACATGGAATATGCAATATACTGTACAAAAATAACACTATCTAGTACAGGACACTTAATCTGAACAATCTATTTTTGTGGTTACATTTGGAACTACACTACTTGTTTCTCATAAATGGGCATTGTGGTGCAAAAAATTCAAATGTATAATTACATCTGTGTACATAATTAAACAAAATGGGAACGAACCACTCATAGCACATAAGACCAATGAGAAGGGCTGTAAGCCCAAATGTCTATGTTTCAGAGAAAATGACTAAGTCAAAGGGCCATTTTTAATCTTGTATTTCACTCTTTTTACTATTTAGGGCACATGAAGGCTCAACAGATAAAGGTCAAAAATTACAACTTGAACTATAACCATCTGTACTAACATTTTTATTGATAAAACAGATCACAGATTCAAGCAAACAAGGAATGGATTGACCAATCAGTGGAGTGATAATGAAGAACTATATTACCATTGTGCACAGTTCAAAAGGAGGTGTTTAACACATAACATGGTGAGTAAAACAGTAAGCAAAGGCCTAACTATTCTTTAAAAACAATTACACAATGTTCTGTATGAACGTTTCCCCCAAAGTCATGCATGCAACATCAATGCTATCATTGCTATTGAGGAACTTCCTTAAAACATTCCAGATCAGCATCATTATAGTAGTACTAAGCATTTATGACATAATGTTCTCAAGTGATTGCAGATTTTTTTAATGCAATATTTAAGTACCGGCAAATCTAATTAACTGTAATTGTTGTTAAGTTAGAAATGCTGTTACAAATTTATGGTTCTGATATCGTAATATAATGCAATACTGCAGCGAGATACGAGAGCCGTAATAATTTAGCAAGAATACCACTCTTTTGATTGAAAAGGCACAATATGTGGGGACCTGAAAATATGATGTACAGGAGGTATAACATGGGGACAGAGTAATGACCTGCAGGGCATCACTTGGACGCCTTTACATGGGAGCCTTCATCTGATCACAAGGAGACGCATTTACCCCGGAGGCTCGGATTGTTACAGCTCTTATCTTTGCTGTTTGTTGTTGCCATTTGTGATTCGGAGCCCTGGCTCCCTCCTGCTGGACACTAATGACAGGAGTTCAGGTGTGTGTGTGTGTGTGGGGGGGGGGGGGGGGGGGGGGG